GCGGGCTGGGGGCGGGCGCGGGGAGGCGGCCCTCCTTTCCTCTCCGGCTCCCGGCAAGTCGGAGCGGGGACTGGGAGGTCGGGGACACAGGGAGGGGGCCGCGCCGAGACGGAGGGAGGGGCCGAGCCGCCTCCGAGAGTCATTGGAGGACGGGACCGCCCGAAGCTGATAAATAAGGGGCCGGGCCGCGGCTGCGGGCCAAGTTGGACGCCCCGACCCGTGCGAGGGCCAGGTCAACGCCGGCCCCGCGAGGCGAAACGAGACGACCCCCGTGCGGCCATGGCCTCGCTTTTGGGAACTTACCCGTGGCCCGAGGGGCTGGAGTGCCCGGCCCTGGAAGCCGAGCTGTCGGATGGGCTGTCGCCGCCGGCCGCCCCCCGCCCGCCAGGGGACAAGGGCTCGGAGAGCCGCATCCGGCGGCCCATGAACGCCTTCATGGTGTGGGCCAAGGACGAGAGGAAACGTCTGGCGGTGCAGAACCCGGACCTGCACAACGCCGAGCTCAGCAAGATGCTGGGTGAGTGAGCGGGCGGGCCGGTGAGCCCCAGGTCGCGGGCCAGGGGCGCAGGCAGAGGCCGCGGGGGGCGAGCGCGCAGAGCGGGGCCGGACCTGGCGAGCGGGGACGCGGGGAGCGCGGGCGTCGCGGTGCCGCGAGGCTGGGCATCTGTGCGGGCGTGGGCGCGAGCGCGGCGACTGGCAGTCAGAGCAGGGGCGCCTTGGCAAGGCCCAGAGTGAAACAGCTTGGCCCTGGGGTGGCCGGGAGGACAGGAGCGGGATTGGGGGCCCCAGGGCACGGGCGGGGCGGGGCTGTGTCCCGGTCCGGGTCGCCGCGCTGCGGAGACCCGCACGCGCGGAGCGGCCGGGACGGACGGGAACGCTGAGATGGGTTGGAACTGGCCTTCGCTAGGGATACGAGTGGGAAATGCATCTTTCCCTGAACTTGACCACCGGCACCATCAAAGAGGGAGGTGCTAACTATTCTTAACGAATATTCGTGAAGAGAGACCTTGCGGAACGCTTTCCTGCTTGAACTTTATCATGAAAGCAACAGCGAAACGTCGATGCAAACAGACTCCATTGGAGACTCCCTGTCTCGGCCGCAGCGGTTTAGTTCATCGGATCCGGATACTCCGGGCGCCGGTGAGGGTCTGTGTGTCCCGCAGCCTGGCCTGGCCGCTTCCTCCGGATTGGGGTTGATGCTGTGCAGTCCCAGCAGGGGTGGTGGGACCCGGACAGGGATGAGCCCGGAGAGAGGATGTTAGGGCAGGTCGGAAAAAACAGAGTTCCTGCCAGGCTTTCTAGTCTCTCCCCTGTCTGGAGCTGAGCACTTTTCAGCTCCGCCCTACTCCTAACCCCTCAGCCCTTTTCGCTGTGGTTTTTATCCATTTGAACTGGTTTTTATCCATTCGAAGCTCTTCGTGAGCGGAGCAGACCCCAGGCCCCGTGAGCAGGCACAGTGTGTGGTTGTGGGAGGCTGGCCCTGCTCTCCCAACCCTGCCAGACCCAGAACCAAAGAAGCCAGTTTCCTTTTTCCGTTGGAGTTTTGGGCTTCTTCCGGGTTGGAACCATGGACTGAGGACTGACACCCAATTTTCTGCTGGTTAAAGCCACAGGCCCACCCAGAGAAGGTCCCTCGGGCAATCTAGATGCCCTTTCAAAGCGGCTGGTAGAGTGGTGGTTACCAAGAGCCTTCTACTGCCCAGCCTCCTGGTTAGCCTGCCCAGGACTCGTTAGGGAGCCATGTCTTAGTGAGCCTCTTCTCCTTAAAAAAATGTTTAAAATTGTATTTTTACATGGTTGGCATAAAGACAAATGTATTCATATACACAACAAAACATTTTCTTCAGTTTGAAAGTTCATATTGTCCCTCAGATTGCTAAAGAGATGAAAACACTTTTTTTTTTTCGTGTGTGGGCCTCTAAAGATTTTTTTGGTAAGCCCTAGACGCTGTTCCTAGATGCTCTTGTGACAGGGATAGAGCACGGTTTCTGTTGCAGACCCAGGGCCAGAGATAGGAGAAGAACCTGGTTTGGGGAGCCTTATAGGATTGAGGCTGCCTACTCCCAGGGAAAGGGCCGGCAAAGGGACTTGGGTGACAAATGCCTCCCGTAAGCTGATCCCCACTCTCTGCTTGCACTTAGGCTTTCAGAGGTTACAGTCCATTTTGCAGGAAAGACACAGATTCCTTCCTGCTTAACCACACAGCCCCTGGCACAGGGTGAGGGAAAACAACCTGGTGCTGCTTTTGCAAATACGGTCTTTCTAATCTGTCCATAGCATGATCGATTTTCACCCCCACCCCCGGGATCTCGCCCAGCCCTTTCCTTTCTGACCTAGGAAAGGAAGGGACTGGATGTGAGGGTCCCAGCATTTTTTTTTTACACAAGCTTTCTAATCTGTAACATTAAAAACTTCACCAGGAACACTAGTATTTTGAGTATATTATGAGTGAGGAGGTGCATAAAGGCAGCTGCACATCTAGTGACATTTACAATTAACCTATATTTTATTAATACTGCAACATCCAGGTGCACTTAGAAACTAGAGTCACATTTTATATACTCAGTCCACAGACTGTGTGTGTGTGTGTGTGTGTGTGAGAGAGAGAGAGAGAGAGAGAGAGAGAGAGTCTGGATCTTGGGCCTCTTGCAACAACTTTGTGGCCTCAGCCCCAGGCTGGGAACTGCGGACCAGCTCCAAATCCAGAGTTCCTAACACTTTTCAAGTTGCCCTTCTAAGCGACAGCCAAAGATATTACTCAGTGATGGTCAGAACAGTTATAGACTTTCATCCCAGTGGCAGAACACCTTCGATAATCCTCCCCCTCTCACCCCCTCTGAGGGCCTGGTGTGCAGAGCCAGCCGACATGGGCACAGGCACTGGCGGACGGAGGGTGGCCATACACACAGCTCTCCTCCTCCCTGTGCAGAGGGCTCCCGTGGGAGATGTGCCCTTTCCTTCCAGGGCTGAGCAGGGCCTGTCCTCCAGGCTAGTGACGGAAACTTCAGCAAACGTCAGAGTCCTGGGGGAACTTGTCAACGTTGTGGAGCCTGAGTTCACCTAGGAGGTAGCAGCCTCGGGGCCCAGCAGTGACCTTCAGAAAACCTGCAGCTGGAGGGATGTGCCATGCACGTAGGAAGACTGAATAAAGCCTTTTACAAAACAACACACAAGTGAGGGAGGACCACTAGGAAGCACAAGCGAAACCAGCATTTTAGTCCCAGTGGGACCCATGTGTGTGATGCTTTTAAAGAGGGAGTTTTGAGTTGGGTAGTATCACAATATATTATCTAGTGAGCAAAACGGAGACCGGGGAAGGTTGCTTCTGTATAGAGTCAGGGGCTGTGCAGGTGCTGCCTGCCAGGGTCAAGGGAGGAGCGGGCACGTGTGTGTGTGCGCGCGCACGTGTGTATATGTGTCTGCATGCATATGTGCATGTTGCAGGCAGATGCTTGCATTCTGGCCACGTTGGGTCGTCAGACAACAGGGTCCTATTTGACCTTCAGATGTAAGGGATAATCATGTTACCTTAAGTGAGATCCTATCGTTTAATTATTTCTGTGAAACTGTTAACTCTACCTGGGCCCCCTCCTGGGGAGGCCTGTGAGGTTTATGCCATACATAACCATTACACGATCACTCCCTGAGAAACAGCAATCACCAACGAAGGCAGAGAATCTTCACTGAAGTGCACAAATACTTCGAATCGGCTCTCCAAGGGTTAAAAGAACCCAAGTCAGGGTTGTAGTCCTTTTATATTGTTATCCTGTGGCTGACACTGGCCTTTGCTGTGAGTCCCACATTCTTTCCATGTTTGTGTTGTCGGATGGTTTTTATTTGGGAGGTGATGTGAATGTGTGTGTCGTTGGCATGAAGTGGTGGTGCCCCGCGCAGGCGGGGGAGCTTGGTTTGGCGCCACTGTGTGCGCAGGATCTGGGCTGGGAAGAGGGTGCCTTCGCGTCCTCGGCCCGCGGATGGGATGGGGGACGCTGTGTGCCTGGTGCTTGGAGGCACCAGTCTGAGACCGGTGCACCGGCCGCAGATACTGACAGGAGCCTTTTCTGACTTGCGTGAGCAGGAAAGTCGTGGAAGGCGCTGACCCTGTCGCAGAAGAGGCCCTACGTGGACGAGGCGGAGCGGCTGCGCCTGCAGCACATGCAAGACTACCCCAACTACAAGTACCGGCCGCGCAGGAAGAAGCAGGCCAAGCGCCTCTGCAAGCGCGTGGACCCCGGCTTCCTCCTGAGCAACCTGTCCCGGGACCAGAACGCCCTGCCCGAGAAGCGGGGCGGCAGCAGCCGGGGGGCGCTGGGGGACAAAGAGGACAGGGGTGAGTACTCCCCGGGCGCCGCCCTGCCCAGCCTCAGGGGCTGCTACCACGAGGGGCCGGCGGGCGGCGGCGCCCCGGGCAGCACGGACACGTACCCCTACGGGCTGCCCACGCCCCCGGAAATGTCACCCTTGGACGTGCTGGAGCCGGAGCAGACCTTCTTCTCCTCCCCGTGCCAGGAGGAGCATGCGCACTCCCACCGCATCCCGCACCTGCCCCGGCCCCCTTACTCCCCGGAGTACGCCCCCAGCCCTCTGCACTGCCGCCACCCGCTGGGCTCCCTGGCCCTCGGCCAGTCCCCGGGCGTCTCTATGATGTCCACTGTCCCGGGCTGTCCCCCGTCCCCTGCCTATTACTCCCCCGCCACCTACCACTCTCTCCACTCCAACCTGCACGCCCACCTGGGCCAGCTCTCCCCGCCTCCCGAGCACCCCGGCTTTGACGCGCTGGATCAGCTGAGCCAGGTGGAACTCCTGGGGGACATGGATCGCAATGAGTTTGACCAGTATTTGAACACTCCTGGCCACCCAGACTCTGCTGCAGGGGCCGTGGCCCTCAGTGGGCACACCCCCGCCTCGCAGATGACACCCACGGGCCCCACAGAGACCAGCCTCATCTCGGTGCTGGCTGATGCCACGGCCACGTACTACAACAGCTACAGCGTCTCATAGAGCCGGAGGCCCGCCCAGCCCTGCCTCCGCCCAGCCCTGCCTCTGCGCCTGGGCACGGAGCCTACGGACCTGCGACCTGCACATCTGCACCGAGGGACCCTCAGCGAGCCGGCTCTGCAGATCCCAATACCCTCTCCATCCCCTTCCTCCCCGGCCCCAATCCCCTCCGCCTGCATTTTGAGTATATTCCTTCAAATGCGTTGTCATTGGCTACACCTGGGAATAAGGCCAGGGAGTTTTTGAAAGACACAGGTTCCAGGTAGAATTTTCATGGACCTCTCCTCCCGGTTCCCATCTCAGAAATAACTGTAAAAAGCCCAGCAGCATTCCCACCTGGGAGCCGTGGGCTGGGATCCAGACACCCAGGATCCCCAGAGGTTCTGGTGATACCCTGACTGGCCTCTCCTTCCCTTCCAGCCTGTTCCCCACCCCCATCTGCAAAGTGGGGGACAGACTTAACACCCAAGGTCCCTTCTGCTCCAGGGTTTTCTGATTTAGGATTCTCTCACGGCTAAAAGGAAAATAAAGGTGGCCCAGGAAGCTCGTTGAGGTGTAATCTGGGATAATTTCGTGTGCACAGCCCAAGGACACAGGGCTTTCTGCACTTGCACTGCCTTCCAAAATGATCCTACTTGTCAATTTTCCTTCCAATTTGAGAAAAAACACACACACACACTCATCTTGATTTGGGGAATTAACCACTAGTATAGACTGAATCACTGAACATGAGGTTGTATTCAAGCTGCATTTTTAAAAATATATATTTTAGACAAGTTCTTTTTTCTTTTGTTACACATTTCAAGAGAATGTATACAGCCTGAATATATATAGTCAGGGTGTAAGAGATACACGACATACACACACCTTCATGCACACCCTTGCACACATGCCCGTGTGGCCTAAATCAGATACTCTTGTTGGCAAGTTTTTATCAACTCCCTCTTCCTATTGACCCAAAGAGCAAGGAACCTAAAAAGAATTTCCTCTGATCTGAATGTGTTGGTTTCTTGAGCAGAATTTCAACACACCCTCCCCTCTGCAAATGCAAAGGGAGCTTTCTTCCCACTGTCTCCATCTCCCTCTCTCCCCTTCCTGGGATTTCTTTTTCCCTTTGCTCTTCCTCCACCCTGAATTGGCCACTAATTCAAAGGTCCCCTGACTTGAAAATTCCAAGCTCGATTCCCATGGCTGGGATGGGAATCCTTCCTGCTGGTCTTTTAGGTAACATCTTCAGACAATACTTCAAAACAGCTTCTCCTCTACACCTTCAGGGTGCTTACTTCCCAAAGAACAGAAGCCCACTGTGATTCGGAAGGTGTTTCTGAGCCCTGCCCCTGCCCCCAGAACATTTCTATCCTCTCAGACCTCCTTTGAAGGAACATACCTAACAGGGAGCGAAAAGGCCATTGTTGGTCTTTTGATGTCTGCATATTATTGCCTGTATGAAATATGTAAGTGTTTTATATATTCTCTTATTTTCACCTTATATTTTGTATTGTTGAAAGTTCCTTTTTTTTCCTTCCAAGGAGTCCGATTGTAAAATCACTTATAAGACATGATTAATCTTTATGCTATTACTATATATAATGTTTGGTAATAAATAGTAAACCATTGACAATACGATTGACTGGTGCAGTCCAGAACGTGTATCAATAATCTTGTAAAACATGATCACAGACATTAAGCTAAACTGTTCCTTTTTCCCCCCTAAAAACTACACATGGTTTGGAACGGTTGTAGATACTGTTTTGTCTAAGATATTTAATTTAAATAAACCTTTTTGTACCGTGACCATTCTATCATTTGAAATCAAGTTGTGCCAAAAAAGAAATGTTTCTGAGTGAGGCAGAGATAGCATGCCCAGCGCTACTGATAGTATTGGTCCAAATGTTTTCCACGTCAACTTTTTTTTTTAATTTAAAGAAGTTGTTATTTGTAGGGGTGGCTTACTTTATCTTTGAGTTATGGTGGAGAGATAAAGGCTGGTATCACACATTGAAAACAGCGTTGTTATTAATAAGAATGAAAGAAAAGAGCAATGTACAGCCTGCTGGCAGGACAGTTTTCTCCTTAGGATGTCTTCATACTTGAAAAACAGAACTGTGTGTTATCTCAAGATAGGAAGTAAGTTCTGCCCAGGTCATTGCTTACTTAAGGCTACCACAGCTTGTTTATTTATTTATTTTGAAGCAGTCTTGAAAAATACCTGGGTTGCCCTCTCCACTATGTATGTACGGATGTGGCAATAACAAAACATGTGGGCTCCCGAAATTGGATGGAATGTTGTGAGAAGGCAGGGGAGCACACGGATCAGCAATGAAAGGATGTAACCACTTGTGAGGTTTGGGATTAAAATGCCAGCCAAAAAGTGCCTGGAAAAAACGGAGGATTACTCAGTCCGTGCAGGTCACCCATGTCTGGCTTCTCTCCGTGGTGAAGCAGTTGTAACTTGTTTGAGTCATGGGTAGTCTTGTGTTCCCCCGCGGCCCGCTGGGCCAAGGAGTGGGTCTTGGGAGAGCCCAATATGTCCCTCCTTCAATTTGGATCATAATCTATAGTCATTATGTTAATAGCACTTTATAGGTGTAGAGAGTTTTACGGCAAGTTTTATGGGCTGTTTCTCATCTACAGCCCCAGGTGGGGCCTTGTCATCCATCCACCCCAGGGACACTGAGGTCCAGGGGGGGAGGTGGTGCTGTGCAGCTCCCCTCCCCCTACTCGGCCAATGGTGGCTGGGGTTTCCCCCCCTATTTTCACATACGTTTGTTGGTGGCATCAGCCTGACAGTCTCACAGCGAGGGGCTTTGTACTCTACCATGGCATGGAATTACTGTACATGCCGTCCAATGTGTACCTATTCCAGCCCAGGAAAGAACGAGCAAAGAGGAAATTACAGGGCCAGAAATAGACCTAATTTGAACTCGCAGCTGCCCAGGCCCACCACGGCTGACAGTGGCGGTTGCAGGGTCACAGTTGGCTGGAACACTCGCCCAGCAGCATCTGCCTAAGACATCGGCCCTCAACGGTGCCAAAGGGGCGTATTTCATTCCAGGACACACGGTGGGAGAGGGGGTGTTGTCCCTGCCCCTGGGAACGCAGGAAATGAGCAGGCGACAGGGCCACTCTTTCACTTTTGCCTCAGCTCTGAGTGCAACGGTGGTGCCCCGGTGACAGTGACAAGAGCACTTTTTGCTTTGCCTGATAAGAATTGATGGGTATAAAGTGTTATAAGTTATTTTTCTAAAATGTAGATGTTATCATTTTACTTTTTTCCTTAAGATCCTTCAGCGCCTGCTGGCCACTGCGGCACACAGGATGAGTGCGGCGGGGGGCTTATGGGAAGCCGACCAGGGTCAAGCCGCCCCGTCCCCTCAGGTCTGCAGGTTCCTGGGAGGCCCCTGATAATGTAGTCACATGGCCATTTGTTTTTATAAACTTTGTGAAAAGGAAGATTTCTTGGTATCCTTTCCTTTCAAAGCCTCCTCCCCCCGCAATTGTACAAGCTTCAGGACCCTACACCTGGCTTGGTCGTATGTGAGTGCCCCTATGGCAGAGCCTCTTTCCAGAAGCCTCTCATGGTCCCCGTCACCCTCCCCTACATGGTGCACCAACTGCACAGAAAGCCTATTGTTCCCTGGAAATGCTGTCTTTTCCATACTTTCGTGTTTTCCCCTAGCTTTTCCCTGACCTGGGAGACCCTCGCTTCCATTATCTATCTAATGACATCCTACTCCCTGTCCCAGTCCAGCTCAGATGCCCCTGACCCTGCTGGGAGGGGGGCTGGGAGGGCTTGAGCAGATCTGGGTTACGGCACTTATTGCCCGGCAGCGTCAGAATCATTTACCCACCACATGGTAGCAGCTCGACAAGTAAGTGAACAAATGAATAAAGTAGTCATTTGAGATGGCCTGTAGGTATCCTGCCTGGTGGGAAAAACCTGAAACCTTCGGGTTCCTAATTTTCTGGCTCATCTCTGGAAACCAAGACTCTAGAGCCTTTGTGTGTGTAGTTCCCAGGCTCTGAGGCTGGATGTGTTGCAGCCACAGCTATTCACCCTCACCTGCTAGAGTGTAGCCCGGAGCAGAAAGGTCAGGAGGTGGGCACGAGGGCACCAGAGGGGAATCTTCTCTTCCATCCTTACAGCAGCAGAATAATGGGTATAAAGAGCTGAGGACAGATGATCTGTAACATTTGTAATTGTCACCTTTTTCTTTTTGAGAAGGTTGTGCTCTTGATTTCATCCCAGTGAAAGGGATTTGGATGGAAGGAAGGAAGGAAAAGAGATACCTCTATGTATGTATGTATGTATGTACGTACTAGTATGTATGTATGTATGTATCTATCTATTATCTATCTATCTATCTATCTATCTATCTATCTATCATGCATCTTTCTATTCATTCACCCATCTCACCCACCCATCTATCTTTCAGCTATTCAATCCATCCATCCTACCTATCTATCCATCATTTTTTGATATTTTAATTCTCAAAAGAGACAGTCTTTGTAAAAAGTTAAAAAAATAACATCATAGATTAAAATAAGTCATCTATTGTCCACATCTTAAAGACATTACTGATGATTTTTTTTTTTTTGCATCTATCCAGTCTTCTTTTGGTCGAATTCTACAAATACGTACGTCTTTTATAATAGACATTTTTTTCATTAATATTAGATAAACATTTTCCTATGTCATTAAACACCATTAAAACACCATTTCTGCAAAAGATGTTTTCTGTCCAGTTGAAAAATCACTATGAAAAAAATTTGGAAAAAGATTACCCACTCCATTGACGTAACTATTTTTAGCCTACTTATTTTTACATACCAACCTCCTTAGTCTTGCATTGATGTGTTCAGAATTGGACCTGGTGTGCTCACAGTGCAGATATCGATCCATTGGTATTTGTCTTTATAGTGGTCATTGTGACAATGGCACTATACTTCGGTGCATTAACGTAGCTTCATTTGCTTGACCACCCCCTTGCCATTAGATAACTGAATTGTCCCATTTTAATTCTTTTCATTATAAGTAACACTGAACATTTACTTGCTTCTGTTGTTAGCTGGATTCCCAGCAGGGTATCACTGGGTCTGAGCATATGAACAAGTTTCCAAAGAGTCTCAATTGGTAGTTGAGGCACAAAATGACTTCATTCAATACCCAGAATGGATGAACTCTTTCTTAGCAGGAAGAATGAACCCCCTGAAGGCTATTTATAACTGACTTACCTCTGACCAGGTTCTAGTGGCTGTATTCATGGTGGCTTTGTTTTCCTGAAGACCTATTTCATGCTTGCTGCTGGCTTCCACTGGCAAATTGAGAATGCTCCTTTCTCTAAACACTATGGTGGATGGCACGCCATTCCCTGAGCATTAACTTATCAGTGGGGGAAAGGGTTAGTCTATCAGTTAGCAAGGCAAGACCTTTGGTTCCCCAGCATCCCTGGAGCACTCCGTCAGGGCTGCTGGTTGTATTCATGGGGCTCGGAGCTCTAGATGAAGCAGGACAGCATCTGGAAATAGCCCGGACCCATGGACAGGGTCTGCCCTTACCCCATCACTGGATTTTGATTGGAACTTGGATAAACCCCTGGACCTGTTTTCTCACCTGAGGGGGCAGTTAGTGAATTTGTGGGAACTCGAGAAATTGTAGAGCCTTATATGCACGTACAGGATAACTACTGTCTATTTCTTCAGACAGTGTACATTTCTTTCAGGCCTGGAGGCTGGTACTCGTTTGAAAAATCTGGATCCATGTGATTGTCATGCTGGGATTGACTGCCTGGGAGAAACCAGGGAACAGGACCCCACCGTGGCTAGAGCGACAACAGAGGAACTCCGCTTTCTTGTCTGGGCACTAAACTGGGATGGAAAGAGACCATTTGGGTCATTTAGTCCATTCCCCTGCTTCTACTGAGGACCGCCTCTTAGCCATTCTGGGCGGTGGGGTTCTATTTGATTTGCCAGCCCTCTGGGAAAATGGATTTTTCTCTCTGTAAGCCAGTCTAACAAGTTCCATCATCGAAGGTTTTCTTCTGCCTCCCCTGAGTCCCTCCTGCTTTCGTCTGCTTCCCTGTCCACCTGGCCCTGAAGGCTGGTGCTTAGGCTTCTTTTCATTTTGTTCTGGGCCCATGTTTGAGGCCGGGTAGGGGTTATGGTCCCCTCCAGACCCTCTCTCAGGTCTGCATTCCCCTCAGTCAGAGACTGAATGTTGTGTGGATGTGGGAGGGGCGGGAAGGAAGGTCTCCTAGCCACACTGTGAGGGACAGGCAGGCGACTTCACCGGGGGTGGGAGAGCGGACTCCTCGGGCACTTTTGGAATGTTCTGCGCGTAGGTGTAGGGTGTGGCCACTTCACATCACTGGGTCAAATAGTCACTCATCTTCCATCCATCCGAAGGGTGGTGGAGTGGCAGTGATCTGGGCCAAGGGGGGAGGAGACCTTAACACAAGGAAAAGATTTCACTGGATTCTGGAGAAAGCATGAGATTGTGATGGATGGAATGGCTCTGCAGCTCCAGGGGCATCAGGGAGCTGGCTCTCCTGTTTGATGCTGAAACCCAAGAGATGAGGCTGCTGGACTTCCAGGGTGAGAGGTCCTGTGAAGAGGGCAGGTGGCCAAAGGCACCCAGTTGCTCCCCCTGCATCTCTTCAGGCTGGTTTGTTCTTACCGAGTCAGAGAATCCAGGAAAACATCCACATGTCAGGTGCTGCACCGGTCAGGGAAGCGGGCCACCTTAAACTCCGGAAGCCAGGGTAACAGGAGAAAGCGATTTGCTCTGATGAAGA